CAAGAAATCAGTTGATCCAAATGGTTTTAATCATATCAAAATGTAGAGGATCTTTAAAAATATTAAACAGCTTAATGAAGTGATTACAAATATTTTACAGTGAAAAAATGAAATAAAAGCATAAGTCTAATCAGGGCAGGATTTACCATTAGGACAGAGTTTTATGGGGCTCCCAAGTTCCTGGGGGCCCCATAAAACTCTGTTTACATGCACATTAATTTTGTTTTTAACAAAAAAATCCTTTCACTAAAATGCCATCAGAACGCTTAAAAGATTAAGTGTGTCTCAGCCCCCCCTTCAGTGTCCACCATATTGGATCAGTCTATTTGCTGCAACGGACAGCAGCAAACCATTTGAAAACAAACGATGCGAAGGGGAGTGCTGCAAACTTAGTCTTTTGTCTTTTAGCACTTTTATTTCAAACAACATCTAAAAGCAGCAACTCTGCTCTCCAGAGCAAGGAGATTGGTAACCCCGCCTCCTGCTCTCCTCTATCTTGTCTGCTGTCATGATTCATGCAGNTATTATTTCATCCAAATGAAAAATGGAGAACAGATAAGCAGATCATGGCTTGTCTACAGTGAAAAGAAGGACTGGGGTATTTACTTCTGCTGTCGCCTTTTTGGAAACAAAGGAAGGAGCAATCAGCTAAGTGAGCTTAGTGCTTGGAAAAAAACTTTAATTTTAAGACAGCATGAAAAGTCAGCTGAGTACAAAACAAGAAGAAAAAGGACAAGAAGAGAGGGACAAAACCTAGAACAAATAATGGATGTCTATTCTACTAAAATTTCTGTATATGTATGATGGATCTGTTTTATGTGTTATCTTCTCAACTCAGAGGGGCCCATGCCCGTCTTCGCCTGGGGCCCCACATTTCCTGAATCCGCCCCCGAGTCTAATACTGTATTTAGCCAAATTGCCCACCTCTACATTGAACTCCTTTCTATAGAGTGCAGCCTTATTTTACTGCCTGGCAGAGCGGGTGGGGGGGCCTCAGTGCTGCAAGTTGCCTAGAGCAGCTTCCCACCATGAACCAGATGTTAAATACCACATCTCCACTCTGCTTTTCAGTCACACGTCTCAGCCCTCTGCTTGGGACTCCTTTTTGCAATTCTGTTCTTTCTTTTTAATCAGATTCCATTTTGTGGAAATGTGCAAAACAGGCTTAAACAAAGAATATTAAAATAACAACTAATTTGGACGCTTCCAATGAGACGCTAACTGCTCCTCAGAAACATCACCAAATAGAAAGCTGCTGTGTGGGTTGGTGTTTGGTTTAATTAGACAAACCAATCCTGGCTTTAATCCACCCTCTGTAATAATATGGGCATTTCTGAAAGTGGTAGAAAGTAGCAGATATATTTCAGTTTCAGTGAGCCTGGGGAGGAGAAACTGCTCTGTGGGAATAATGTGACCAGGTGAGACATTTTTAACACCTACAGAAGTTTCTCTGAGCAGACCTCAGCTGACAGTTGGTGTCTAAAGTCAAAACAGGAAGCGTAATGGTTTGAAAATGTTTTCCTTTTTTTTTTAAACGTGCACGATTCCCAGTCTTTATGTTCATATATGTGAAACAGGGAGGTAATACAAAACCAGTATCTGACAAAATAAATGAAAAAATCCCCAATCCAGGCTTTGAAATCCGCTTTCACGTCTCAGCATGCTATAAAATGACAGCTTTTATTATCAGCGGCATTTCTAAAATCTAGAAATAACACATCACTGATATAAATGAGGGGTAGAGAAAGAGCTTAGAAGGAAACGGTATCTGCAGAGATCTGGAAGCAGCGGGTAGATATGGCTCTCTGCGTAAAGTGTATTAGGGCCACACAAGCCTCAGTGTGTTTATCCCTGTGGAGTTGGGCTTTGTCATCACACACTGTGAAGTTATAGGCACTGACACTGGGAACAGCGTGACCCACTTCTCCCTGACCTGGAAACACTCCACAGGCTGACCCCAAGTCTAACGCCACCGCGAGTTGAATCATGCGAGAAGAAGAAAAGAAAAAAAAAAGGGGACGTTGACTCATATCTAGGCTAATCATGAATTATTAAAGGCTAAAATGAAAAGAAAGCACAGAGGTCAGCGGCATCAGCTCCTGGATGACACGCAGCATTCATGCTAAATTTACAGCGCAAAAGACAGGGCCCACCGCAGGAGGAGAAAAGGGAAAGAATTGGTTTCATATGTTGATAATTCATCAACTTAACTAAAGATTCACTTTGGTTAAACTGCACCTTGAGCTTAACGGTAAAATTGACTTTTAAATGTCAAATAAATGGCACAATAGAATAAAGAGATGTGGCGATTTGTGGAGGTGTTGAGTGTTTAGCTGCTGCGCTGTGCAGCACGTAGAGAAATAAAAACCTGGTGGTCTTTGAAAGACTTTTGGATACCGCCATCAGAAGTCAGCCCAGTTATGTGAGGACAAAGAAAAGGCATGTGCTGGGCTCAGGCCAAGTACTTCCATATGGGCCTTGAGTTCACTGGGTCCAGGTTGCATGTGGCAGCAAACATTAGCAGGAGGTTCAGTAGGAACAGGCTGCCACCCAATGGCTGAAGAGGTGTAGTGCATCAAGGACACCGACTACGTCACCATGTGTTTAAGTTGATTAGAAAATTACAAGAGGAGGACTGTTTAAAATATAAAGACAACTAAGAAAAATAAAGACTTATAAAACAACTAAAGATCCTTCTTAAATGAGACAAACCCTACATGATATTTGCTTGTGATCATTTAAAGAAAAGGGTTCTTAATAATATTTTATTGATTAAAAACAGGATCCAGTGAAAGAATCCACTAGGAATTCAAGCTGCTAATGATTAACCATGAAGAGATGCAGCAACCAAATTACCATGACAACCTCACTCCCACTACTGGAGTGGGGTCAAAGCAGGGTGTTGAGGGGCGAGGAGCTAAAGAAGCAACAACAATAACAAAACAAAAAAATCACAGCAAAAAAGGAAGAATTTAACAAACAAAAGTATTTGTCCTTAAAACATTGGTGTAAATCTATTTTATTATTTATGTAGGAGTCGGATAGAACCTAATGGTAAATTAATAAAAAACTATTATAAGACAAAAACTTTTTTTTCATTCATTTGTCAACAACCACCAACAATCTCATTGTTAGAGATAAATTCAAGAATCTTAAAAGTAGAAAAAAATGCTGTACCAAATGGTTAGAAAGTTTAACTACATATTTCAGAAAATGATTTTGAGGAAAAAATATGAACTATCTGCACTTTAAAAAACATTTACGTGTGTGTATGTGTGTGTGGCCATGTCTTTAATACCTGGTGGGGACAATTTCCTAGGAATATGCTCCATTTTGGGGACATAAGGAAAGTTTCTCTTCTTGGGGTGGGGGTTAGGTTTAGGACTAAGGTGTGAATTGAGTTTAGGTTAGGTTTAGGGATAGGTATGTGTCGGTAATGGTTAGGGTTAGGGCAAGGGTCATGGTTAGGACATATAAATTAGTGGGAAATGAATGGAAGTCAATGAAAGGTCCCCACAAGGATATTGTGACACAACATGTGTGTGTGTGGGGGGGGGTGTATGTCATCTATCTATCCATCCATCCATCCATCCAGCTATTGAATATTTGGATTAAAAAAAACTTAAAAATTGAATGATTTGAAACCTTTTCATCTTCTATAAACAAAAGAAATGAAATGGTATGAAGACAGATGAGAGGAAAATAATTGCATGACTAAAGGTATTAGCAGAGTTTAGGAGCATTTACAGCATCAGCCTTAAAGATTAATCAGAGAAACACAATTATTATTTTTTTTTTTTTTTTTTTATCACCTGAATCTAATCACACATTCCACGATCTTTTCCCAGATATCCAAGTTAACGCAGGTATTACATCTACAGGCATAGTGTTGAAAACAGCTGTTGGCAGCTCAGTTATTTGGCCCCTGACCTGGGTTTTTGGGCCCTGAATGGAGGCTTGTGAATTCCCACCCTGTTAGAAGCATTTACAGGCCCAGAGAGCCTTGCCTCAGCCCCCCTTGACCTCAGTATCACCCTTGCCCAGAGCTTGCACTGAGGAATCCTGGGAACATAAAGAGCCTAAAAGAGAAAAAGAAAGCTGCCCTGGCAGCAAGCCTACCTTGTCAAGTTTACAACCCAATCAGGCGCTGCCTCATAAATTTACGCCTCATCCTGCTACAAGCCAACAATGCTGGTCATTCAGTGTGTGCGCAGCTTTAATAGCTCCTCTTCAGCTTTCTTCCACTGCCTAGAAACAAACCTCTTCTCCTCCTCTTACTTCTCAAAGGTTTGGAAAGAATGAGCAGAAGGCTTACATCCAAGGAGAACGACACACAATCAGGTCAGAGAGGAGTCACGGCGAGGTCAGCTGCTTCTCAACTGTGTCCGACCTCTGACCCTCTCTACAGTGCCACCTGGTGCCGAAATGACACTCAGGAGTCTAAAGTGAACTTCATGTGAACCTGGACCTTAACATTGGACCACTGCCTCACCTCGACCCCTATGGTGCACAGTTCCTTTACAGCAGAGACCCTCTGCTTAACTCGTTTCCCCATATCTCAGTGTTTGAGACATTAGTGATTCTGTCACCGAAGCTTTTGAACGTTGATTGTTAAAGTTGGTATTTTTCCAGACACAAACATTCAGTCAAGTTTCACCTGTTAGATTATAAATTTAGATAAACCAGAGCTGCAGCTCTACCCAAGAGAGAGATGAGCTACTGGGTTTAGGGTCATACTGCCCTCTTGTGGATATAACCAGAAATCCAGCCATTTTATTAATTTATAAACTTTAATTTGCCACTAGATGGAGCTCTTTCTTTAATGGCTTTCAAAGGCAGTCCTAATGAATCATGGTAAAACTGTATTCTGACCAGTTATCAGTGCTGACCACATACATGTGATGTTGTAACAAAGATGGAGAGAAAATAACCTAATATTGTAGATAAATAAAGACCAGAAGTTAATTAACTAAAATTAGCACATCCATGTTTGAACTTACCCATGCTGTCAGGTTCTGTCTCCAGTGGATGGTCACTGTAAAAACCTGGTTAGAAGGCACACAGAGGGAGAATAACTGTTAGATATTATGCATATAATCCAGTTTAATTGTTAAATTCAGTTTAAAAAATTTAGACCATCTCCTTTAGCTGCTTCATGCTGACTGAAAGAAACCTACAGAAGTGTGAAACAGATATTCCATGAGCTGTTCAAGGAAACAAATGGAACTGGGTTATATGGAGAGTGAAGGAGGTGATGTGCTGGAATGACAGGAATCTGGCTTTCTTTCCCAAAATATATAAACTATTTTAGCATCAGAAGGAATAATTACAGCTCTTTTTTAAGAAAAGGAAAAACAGCAAGTTAATTTTATAAATTTAAGGTTTAACTCCCTTTAAAGCAAACTTCGAATGCAAAGTAAATCTAAATGAAAAAACTACACAGGAAAATATGCAGTTTGTCAGATTAACTAATTCCAACTAAAAGGTGCTAGAAGAGTTTGTTGGATTCGGTTCTCAATTTCTTACGCTTTAAACAGAATATTTGATTTACGCAGCTGTGCTTTTCAAGTTAAATTTGTTTTCTGGTTTGCAGAAATGCTGAATAATATACATATACATCAAACATGTGGCTATGACAAAGGTGTTATCCCTCTTTTATTTTGAACAACCATAAAGCAGCTTGAGAAGTTTTTACATGTAAAGTCTGTTTTATCATCTGTAAAGAAGACCATATGTAATTTATGAACCCTGGTCCCAGAGGCACACTGCCCTGCATGTTAAGGGTATTTCCAAACTTCCACACACCTGATATAAACCGATAGGTTAACCAGCTCTACTGAACTAAAATCATCTGAATCAAGTGTGTTGAAGCAGATAAACATCTAAAACATGCAGGGCGGTGAGCCTTGAGGAGTTAAAAAATAAATAAATACTGGCTTATGCAATATTTTTTGCCCCATTTTAAGCAAGTTCAACTGTACCAAGTCATTGAGAAACTAAAGAATAAGGCCAGTCAAAGATTCCCAGCCTGGGCTGGGAATCTGGACAACTTTATTCCCATTAATCCATTACAGAAAAAAAACCTCCGGTGGTGAGGAGGTTGCAGAGCGAGAACAAAAGTCACTGTGCTTTTGCCATTGCAGAGAGGTGAACTGAAAAATACTACTAAAAATGCTGCTGTGCTCTATTTGTCCATGAAGAAAACATTGCAAAGAAGTTTTAGTAATCAAAATAACAAGTTTGAGGCGATATTTAATCTGCAAAAATATATATATATTCTTCTGGCGCCAAAACCCACAGAACTGAAGCTGGTTTAGTGAATTAACCTCCACAAAAAGGTGGAGTTGCTTTTTACTACTTGACACAAAGCCATCACTCTATGCATGCCCAAAGTCAGTCCTAATGGGCCACTGTTCTGGAAAAGGAACATTTTGAAAGACAAAATATAAATATGATAACTTATAACCAGGCTAAACAGCATAATGAACCTAAGATTTAGATGCTGTCAACATGCAGACCATGAAGGAATCTGAACAATATTAGTGAGATTCCCCCTCCTTTTTAATAATTAGCAGCTTTATTTAGCTTAAGGAGGCTGAAGCAAGTGTGCAGAGATAAGCCCCAATGAAAATGTCCCAAGTTAAATTACATGTTATTAAAAATATAACATATATACATATGTTGTTTGAGCCAAATGATGAAACAGAACACATTTAATCACTTTATTCAGAAATAAGGGCTGTCCTTTACGTAAGGCCGTCCTACATGCTCGTCCCGTTAGCTATATTTACTACACATGCGCACTTTCAGGTGTATATCTGTAGTGAGCTACGGTTTCAGACAGTCATTGAAGCTCACCTTAATCACCGCGGTTATTTGAAAATGGCCGAGGGTCATAAGAGAAAAAGTGTCTATGAAGTGTATGAAAAAAAAAGGCTTCAAAAGAGGCAGATATATCCCATAATGCTTTGCATGGAGGGCTCTCCTCGCAAAGCATTGTGGGATTTGCTGTCACAGCGGCCCACTGTCTTCATAGGCTGTCGCTACCCGACAGCAACGACCAATAACAAAGATGGCGCAGGCACCACGCGGTGGAGGAGTTTTATGACTAACGGGGAGCAAAGAGTAGTGATCATCTGTCCAAACGGTCAGTTAACTGAGTTCACTATTAAGTCCACTATATAGTCCTCGCTCTATATAATGATTGAGGAATTTAGAGGTTAGAGCGGACATTTGTACATAGTAAGCTTGTATGAGCTATGAGAACGGCAACTCTTAAACAGAGCGTGCACGAAGAGAAATGAGCTTGTGCACGCTCTCCCAAGCGTTTAATAGACGTTCCCTCTCCGGAGCGGGGGTCTAAGCGGGGGTTTAATGGAGAGCGCGGGTCGTTTCAAAAATTCGCGAAAATTCTCCACTATACCTTTAACTAGGACTGCAACTAAGGACTATTTGCAAATTGATTAATCTATCGATTATTTTTTTCCAATTATTAATCGGACAACCAAAGGATCCTTAAAGAAGATTCTGTAAAGAGATCTAATAGAAAGAGCAGATATACAAGTGCATGCCTCCATGTCTGAGGTCATTAGAATATCATTAGTGACTTCAACCAGTGCCGTTTTGGTTGTATGATGAGCCCTAAAACCTCATTGGTCCTTATGGTGCAAATGTTTACATTTTATTACCAGTTATTTTGCCAAGATTTTTTTTCAGAAAAGGAAGATTATATCTTTTGGTTTTCCCCTTTCAGGAGTCCCCATACAGAACCATTTGTCTCCATCTTATCGTCTGCATCTTTTTCTGTCAGACCAACTACGTTCATGTCCTCTTTGATTCCATCCGTAAATCTCTTCCTTTATCTTTCTGTAGACCTGCTGACTAGCAGATCCGGCCCTTAACATCCTTCTTCCAACGTACTTTCAAAGTCTAAACCACCTCCATCCATATAATCTTCATTGTAACTCCCAAATAGAACCTCAACATCATCTCAGTAAGAAAGATTAGATAAAAGTTTAGTCATTTGGATTGAGAGAATGTTTTGTAATAACACTTATAAAAGCATGTGGTACATATCTCAGTACTAGGGATAGATCAATCATCTAAAACTGGGGAGGGGATCAGAGTTAAACAAAGAAATACTTGCCTAAATAATAAACAGGTTGCTCTGGTGTAAGCAAACAGAACTGATAAAGACTTCCAGATAGTAATCAAGACATCTTCAAAATTTAAGCCTGTTTTGTGGCTGCAATGACCAGGATGACTGAAAATGAACACAGACGTGTTCATTTTTAGGATACGTTTACAAGTGAGGCTTCCAATCGATGGAACACAATTCAAGAGGAACATTTTCCACCTTGTTATCTATTAATTCAAGGAAGGTCATTGTTCTTGTCATTATTTTAGTACCTGTAGTGAATAGTTTTATAGATCATTTCTAAAAATGACCAAAATAAAAAACAGCTTCTGTCGCACTTCTAACTAAAAAACTGGACAGTTTGCCCAATCCATAGTGGCTAATGGACAATAAGCCCAAGGACCACACAGCCAGATTTTCAGTTACCCATCCTGATGTATCATTTGACTCCCATAACTGCAGAACAATCTGTTTTCTTCATATCAGTTACTCTCTTTGTGCCAGAACTTTTATTTTTTACCCGCCCCCCCCCTCCCGCCATCACACGTCCTTTAGCTGTACAGCCATCTGTGCTGCCACCAAGTAGCGGCTTCTCACTTACACAGCGCCCAGCGAGCTACATCATTCATGTTCAGACTGGTGCTGACCACCGGGCAATGGGTGTATTAGTTCCACCAACCTACTCACCTCCCCCGATATGTCAGTGTACCTCCATGCTACCAACAGCTGTAGACCCCTGACCCGACACACGCCAGCTGCACCCCTCCTCCTCCCTAAAGCCAGCCCCACAGTCAACAGCAGCATATGTTCTCCCTGGAGCATACATCAACACACACGTGCCTCGGTTATTCTCCATCTGAACAGACACACACTTATAAAGACATGCAACAATAATGCCACAAGTGCAAATGTCCTTGGGCACCAACTGCTTGTGTATTATGAAGGTGCACAATTCATGAGTTTTATCGTAATTAATCAATTACTGAAATAATCATCAACTATTTTATTATTCAGTTGATAGTTAACTGGAGTATAGAGACTCTAAAACATGCCTTTAGCTGAGAAGTTAATATACTAGAATTGCAAAAATATACAAACATTTTGCATTTAAAATAAAAAAAAAATGCATGTGTCAATATGCTTTTTCCAGAGCTCTTCAAATTGTAAAGTTTGAATTTCCCCTGGTTTTATTTCATTAAAAGTCTTCTTTAAGGAATCTTAGACCATCTGATTATTAACCGAAAAAAGAAATCCACAGATTAATCGCTTTGCAAAATAATCGATAGTTGCAACTCTAGTGGACAGTCTACTTTACTAGAAAAGATCTCATCATCCTGACCTAAATTTACAGGTTATAGAGTGTAGAGCAATGATATCTTTGTATTTTCTGCAGGTCGTCGGTCGGTATAAATGGAAACTGGCATTTTTTTATGAGTTATGAAACGAGAATCTTTTTTTTTTCTGAAGTTACAGAGGATCTTTGCTACCTGAGAGCAGGAGAAACTGAAGAAGCCTTCTACGCATCTCTAGTTTCTTACTGCTTAACGTGAGGATCGCCCTATTCTTCTCTGCTATCCGGTCAGCTCTTAATTAGGGCTGCAACAATGAATACTTTGCAAATTGATTAATCTGTCAATTATTTTTTCATTAATAATCTGATAGCAAAAGCTTCTTTAAAAAATACTTTTTAAGAAATTAAACCAGGTGAAACTAAGAGCTTTCTGCTTGAGGAGTTCTGGATAGAACAAATTGGCAGAATTTTTTTTTTTTTTTATCTTAAATGCAAAAAAAGTTTACATACTTTTTTTTTTATCATTTTGGTATGATTGCTGCTAATCTACACTCCAGTTAACCATTAATCGATTAATACATTTGTTGACGATTATTTCAATAGGCGACTAATTCGAT